GGGGGGAACACACACACACACACACACACACACACACACACACACACACACACACACAATAAAACAAAGGTATAAAAATAGTATAAAAATGCAACTAATAATAAAAAAGTGAACGTTGAAGAATGTTAGAGAGGCAGCCATTCAGGTAGGCGTGGTGGTGTTTGCATAGCATTATCACTAACTCCTGGAGGGAACCGACAATATTTACTGTCCATTTGGCTTTGCAAGGTACTGAAGCCTCTTTACTGTAGCTCTTCCCTGTGTGGTTCAGAAGTCAGAGCACGTATTCTGGGTTGATGGTGCGTGTGTCTGTGTATAAACGCAATATACATGGGAGTTTAACTTGCCTACTAAAAAGAGACATATTAACTCCGTTGCATGTACGAGTGATGATCATTGGTCTTAATCCAGAGAGAGAGACAGAGAGAGAAACAGACAGACAGAGACAGATAGACAGACAGAGAGACAGAGGGAGAGAATACAGATATCCATAATTATCTCCCATTTAGGAGACCCAAAGTCGATCCCAGCTTCGACTAATATATTATTATATCTGTAGGCGTTACCACTGACCTACTCTACCTGTTGTCAAGAACGGGAACAAAAAAATTAATGTTTTCTGTCCGTGCGTCTGTCCTGCTATACAAATGACAGTACATCATTGACCAGCTTGGTAGGTGAACAAATCATGAGAAGATCTAACATGAATATATTCTTACGTTCTTATGAGTCCAATAAACAGCCGGTTAGAGCTTTGTTAAGGTGCGGAGGGATGGAGGAACAGAGAAGGGGGAGGGGGGAGGGGTTGAGAGGAGGGGAAGAGGGGTTGAGAGGAGGAATGGAGGAACAGAGAGGGGGGGAGGGGTTGAGAGGAGGGGAAGAGGGGTTGAAAGGAAGGGAGGAGGGGTTGAGAGGTGGGATAGAGAGGAGGGACAGAGGGGTTGAGAGGAGGAAGAGGGGTTGAGAGGAGGAATGGAGGAACAGAGAGGGTTGAGAGGAGGGGAAGAGGGGTTGAAAGGAAGGGAGGAGGGGTTGAGAGGTGGGATAGAGAGGAGGGACAGAGAGGAGGACAAGACTAACCCACCCCACCTCTAAACCCAACCCATATATTACTCTTCCCGTGACTCGATTTATCTTTGTAGAAGGTTCTGGGAAGGACAGAATTGGATAATATACAGAGAGTATTGAGGAAGAACAGTTACCTCATACAGCGTCATGGTAGCTATAGTTGGCAGTCTTGTGGGAGGAGGTTAGGTTAGGTTTAGGTTAGGTTAGGTTAGGTTTAGGTTAGGTTAGGTTAGGTTAGGTTAGGTTAGGTTAATATCAAGGTGTATCGTCAGGCAGGATAACATGACATAGGTAATAGTTAATTTATATATATATATATTTATTGCTTAGTTTAAATTAGTTTACATGAGAGGTGGTGATGAGAGATAGACTATGGTGGGGTGTAGTAGTGAGAGAGACAGACTATGTTGGGTGTAGTAGTGAGAGAGAGAGACTATGTTGGGTGTAGTAGTGAGAGAGACAGACTATGTGGGGTGTAGTAGTGAGAGAGACAGACTATGTGGGGTGTAGTAGTGAGAGAGACAGACTATGTGGGGTGTAGTAGTGAGAGACAGACTATGTTGGGTGTAGTAGTGAGAGAGACAGACTATGTGGGGTGTAGTAGTGAGAGAGAGACAGACTATGTGGGGTGTAGTAGTAGAGAGACAGACTATGTGGGGTGTAGTGGAGAGATAGACTATGGTGGGGTGTAGTAGTGAGAGAGACAGACTATGTGGGGTGTAGTAGTGAGAGAGACAGACTATGTGGGGTGTAGTAGTGAGAGAGACAGACTATGTGGGGTGTAGTAGTGAGAGAGACAGACTATGTGGGGTGTAGTAGTGAGAGAGACAGACTATGTGGCATGAGGTAGGTAGTCTGGGTGTAATAGCTATGGTAGACTTAGACTGTATCGGGTCATGTGGTGGTTAGCAAGAGTAATTAAAGATCAGATGACATCCTGAAAAATGAAGGAATTGATCTGTAAAATATTCCAATGACTTTGTATGTAGTTTAACCTCCGCTCCCCTCTCCCCCAGCCATTGAGTGTTGCCAAGATAAAGTAACAAACCTCATGTGCCTTATACGTTTACATCACACTTAACGCAACACTCATTCACACAAGCAATCATTTCACAGCTCCAGAAAAAAAGGGTGAATCCTGGCGTGGGCGGTATAAAGGTTAAGAGAGTAACTAAAAATCTGTCTATAGAGCTTTGAAGGTCAGCCCGGCATGGAGAAACTTCCTTTAAGTTTTCACGGTCAGACAGTCAGTCGGTCAGCATTACAGATCACACAGATGTTAATGTAAGTGAAAACTCTTCATAAAATTCTTCTGTTTTTTTTTACTTATAATATTGTGACACAATTACTGTGTCTCAGAAATAAGGTACAGGGTCGCAAGAAGACACAAGCTGGTTGAGAGGTTAATTTGGATATTGATAAATCACTTCCTGAGTTTGTATATGTTTTACGAAATTCGAATAATATCCTGTAGGTATCCATGGAAGAGGATAATTTCAACAATGAACACAAGTGACGTTATATACGAGTAACACAAAGAAAGACAAGGTTGGGAATGGTGGAAATGCGTAGGAAGCCGAGCCAGGTTAGGTGAGAGAGAGCCCTTAAGGTTAGCCAGATGGGAGTGGAGAGGGGAGGAGAGGAGAGAAGAGAGAGAGGAGAGAGGGGAGGGTCGTGCAGATCACATGACTCGGGTCTCCAGGGACATTACTTTGAGGCGGCAAATATTTAAGTCACATATTTTAACCCTAGCCCTGATTATCGTCTTTGGCTGCCTGCTGTGACGGCCTTCCTCACTCCTCACGACAGTATAGTACTTTATATATATATATGATAACCTTACGGTATCCTATGAGTTTAAAGTGTATTAGTGATAGTGGTTAGCAGTGACGTTACGTGACCTAGTTAACGCTCCACCAACTTGCCGGGGTTAATATAATGTGGATGATGATGAGAATTTAGTTTTAGAGATACATTCATATATGAAATACAAAGGTTGACATACACATGGGACAAATGGCATATTGGTAATTACGGTGGTAACATTTATGTAGTCCTGATAATGACCTATCTCAGGACACACACACACACACACACACACACACGAGGCAACAACCAGAGTTGGCTTCACAACCTTGCGCTGTCATTACCTGTAAATTGGAACCAACAAGAGTATGCCAGGCCTTGTTTACAAGTGGCGATGAGGAGGTGAGAAACCTTATTGCCCTCAAGGAAAGGAGCAATCAGAGTGATGACTTGAAGTAAACACAGGATCACCTAAAGATTAAACACTCCGGCTTACATCAACCTGACGATAAGACACCCAACCCTACCTGGGGTTGGGGGGGGGGGCAGGTTAGGTTAGGGTAGTTAATATCAAGGTGAAACAAACAGAGGGGGGTTTAATCTTCAGGTAATCCGGAAGTGTTGTGCTTAAGAGGACCAAAACGATGAAGCTAGATAGAGGAGTAGGAATTATAGAGTGCTGAGTCGAGGCTAACAATAATAATATGTAAATGATGAGACAGTGAGAATGAGGGAAACTTCCGAGGTATAACTTGAGGCTGACAGGAGCAAGATGGAAGAGAAGTTGGGCTGGAGAGAAGTTTGGGGTAATTTTTTTTTCAGCTTAACAATAGGCCAGACGAGGTTAGGTTAGGTTAGGTTAGGTTGGGTTGATATGAAGGTGATGGGCGAGCTGTGAGGGGAGATGATGAAGAATGGTCGGAGTGAAAAGTTTGATTTTGTATTTATTTTTCAAGTACTGCTAACTGTTACTGCAGGTCGAGAAGTTTACACACACACACACACACACACACACACACACACACACACACACACACACACACATAAAGGTTTTCTTGAACGTTTCCTAACATTGACACATCGATTTTAACATATTCCATTTCCATTCCATTCATTATATTTTCAGCCGTGTGTATAATAATAAAATAATAATAATAATAATAAACGGTTTATTAAGAGAGTTGCAGCCGGATTGTGTGTGTGTGTGTGTGTGTGTGTGTGTGTGTGTGTGTGTGTGTGTGTGTGTTGGACGAGTAAACCTTAGCAGTACCTTTAAGTTACCATTAATCTTAAGTGTTAATACCGCTACGTCATATTACGGCTTATGCCTTTAACTTTAACAAACTTTATTTTTCACTTTATCATATATTGAACAGAATCAAGAGGACCACAACCCTCTCCTCTTTATTCGCTGTCCTTCTCCATTTCTCACTGACTAAAGTATCGTATTTTACTTTAGTGTCCCTCTTCTCGCAGGCAAAAACATCGATACCTTTCTTTCGCCCCACGTCCCTAACACCACACATCAACACCAAACTGCACATTCTAACACATTTCATTCATACAATTTAAAACTTTTCTTCCAATTAAAAAACAAAAAAGATTTACAATGTATTTAGTTAGCCCTCGTGTTAAATATTCCCTCCCACACACACGAAAACAACAATATTGTGATTCAGTAGACTCGTCAAGTATATATTTCCGACACCTGGCGAAATATTCTACCTTTATTGATTTACGTATAAAATAATATTAACACCCATTAATGAAGAAATAATTAAGGGTGTCTGAAAGTTTTGTAATTAATGAGAAGAATAGGGATTCAAGATATATAATTTCTCTTGCAAAGTGGTGGAGAAATAAAGTGAAGTGTAGGCAGATTGATTCCCTCGTCAGTTCCTCCCTTTACCGTGATTGAGTTGTTCCCACACAACACCTGGGGGCGGTGAATACGGCAAAGAAAATGTTTGCAATATCAAGAGCCATCATGCAGTACATTTTCTAACCGGTTATGTCTTTTACCAGGAGAGTCGTCATGTAGCACAGCGTCTAATCGGTTATATGTCTTTTTCCAGGAAAGTCATCATGTCACACATTTTCTTACCGGTTATATGTCTTTTTTTCAG